CTTCCGGTCAGTAAATTCGCGCTTTAAACCACTTGAGCCATCTCGCCCTAAAGTAACCCCTTTTTTCTTACATGTCAGTCGACACTTAACCAGGCCAATCAATGTGTACTTCTGTTTTACCCTGTTACTAAGGTTAGTATCGGTTCGAGTGAGCCTTTTACTTGATTCCCTTTGATAACTCATAGGCGACCAAGTTGAAAGTGTTATACAACAGGCATGATGCGCATACTCAAGCTGGCAATGCCTTCTAATTTGTTTCTTCTTTTCCTCCAGCAGCACATAACAATCGTGATGACGGTCTCCTGTCTGCCTCGATGGTCAAAACTACAAATGGGACTCCCAATCTCGTATCTCCCGGTGACCTGTTCACTGAGATTCGTTCTTCAGAAATGGCCAAATTCCAGACTGAATTGGCTCAACTCGAGACAGAAAAGAAGGAGTTAGTCCGAAGCCTAGAAGACACCCAACGATCGCTGGAACTCGCTACGAGTGAGGTGTCAAACAAACAGGAGCGTATCAATGGTCTGTTGGCCCAGCTGGATGCCATAATGTCGGTCAAGTCGGAGGCCGATTCCGAATTCGAGGCCAAGGAAGCAGAACTGGGCTCTTTGGGTGACGTCAGTGGAATCCATGGAAAGGATGCAATGGCCGACTCATCATTGTCTTTGCTTATGCACTTGGATGACAATGTTGATGAGGCCATAAAGTCCCAACCTGCCTACAAGCGTCTCCGCAAGGCACTACGATTAAGCGAGAACCGGTATTCGGTCGCCTTACGTCAAATAGGCAGCATGCAACACGATTTGTGGCGTTACCACGAGCGAGATAAGTTGGACGCTCGACCGGATTTGGCGACTGAGGAAGGATTGAAAAAGGAGGTATTGCAGCTACAAGCCAGCTTGGACCAGCGTGCTGAAGAAATCAAAAATTTACAGAATTTGTTGACAACTCGCCAGATGTCGATTGAAGCAATGGAGAAGCAAGTAATTGCTTGTTCCAAGGATATCCGACGAGTTGTTGTCTGTTTATTGGACAGCTATACTATGGTCTGTTCGACAATGAAGGAGGATCCACCTAAACATGTGAGTTTTGTCCAGTTTTTGTGG